TAATATTATATAATTTTTACAACACCAATAAACTTCAAACGTTTGTGTATAGACTGTACAAAATAAATATATTTAATCAAACACAAACATGACGCATATAAGATACAAATTGTCCCTTTTACATGACGCATATAAGATACAAATTGTTTCTTTGATGTTGCGATAGGGTCAGATAGGGTCTTCGTGGAACTGTGGCCTACGAGGGGCTTACATCCCAGACTGCAGATGGTACTTGAACAAATACGGAATACTGACAGATGAAATCTTTTAACATATTACAAGTTGTTTTATTTTATTATTTGATTTTGCCCTAAGTCTGCTGTGACCCACCTATTAGCGTTTTCAGGTTTCTCACTTTCCACATCTGCGGCATGTCGAGTTCTACGTTAAGTTGGACACGCGTATATTCCGACACTACGGAGTCCGATGACGAACTACCGGTCCCTGTGTTTCAGGAGCAGTGGTAGAACACCACGCCCCGTACTGGGAACACCCGTTTTCTCAGCCTTACTTCGACAACTCGACCCGGCGAGAGATGACGACGACAGTGGGGCAGAGCGCCTACTTGCATTGCCGCGTCAGGAACCTCGGAGACCGGGCGGTGTCGTGGATTCGAAAGCGGGACCTGCACATCCTTACGGTCGGGATTCTGACGTACACCAACGACCAGCGATTCCAGTCCTTGCACTCCGACGTTTCCGATGAGTGGACGCTCAAGATCAGCTCGCCCCAGGTCCGGGACTCCGGTACCTACGAGTGTCAAGTGAGCACTGAGCCCAAGATCAGCCAAGCCTTCCGTCTGAACGTCGTCGGTGAGTTGCTGAATTGTTTTTTTTCCGTCCATGTTTAACGACGCTGTCAGTAGCTCGTCTATACGGCAACGAATAATGGGATTGATTATTTCGATGAGTAATTCATTGTAAAATATATTAAGGTGGGCTACGCCCCTTTTTAAGTTACTATTCTGTTTTCCTGAAGGCTCTGAGAGAAACCACTAAAATCTTTTGTAAACGGTCTGACAACAGAGTTTTCAACGTTTCATCATAAAATATGATAAAATATTTATTTCTCTAAATTCTATAAAATTGTCCAGTCATTCTTGGATTTGATATTTAAAAATGGAAACTTTTCTCTGTCTGAAATAAAGAAGTAACTTTGGTTGCCTAAAATTTTCTGAAAAAATCTATTTATAAATTCTATAAAATTGTCCAGTCATTCTTGGATTTGATATTTAAAAATGGAAACCTTTTTTCTGTCTGAAACAAAGAAGTAACTTTGGTTGCCTAAAATTTTCTGAAAAAATCTATTTAATATTTTACCTTAATGATAGTTACCACTTTAAGTTGTCAAAGATCGGGGCTGCTACAAGACGGGAGTCATCTTGCCACAAGGCTATGCATGCTACATGCCTGTAATCCAGTCCCGTTATGAATTTCTGTTTCTAAAACGCGGCATCATGGTTCAAAACTGTTTAGAGGCAGTGGATTCAATAGAAGACAGCTTATATCGAGAGCATCACAGCATACAGGCGTATCAACATATTTACATAATCGGACGTATTAAGTCGAACATAAAATTGTGACATGTATGTCAGGCCAGACGGACGTAACGTTGCTAATACGGATGTGTGCATGGAGACTAATAATGCACATTTATCAAATCAGATGAGCTGAATAATTCAAGTCTCCTGCAAATCAGTCATCTTCTTCATACGCCCTTCTTGAACGATGTGGCCTTACGCGAGTTGTTCCCAGACACTCCTAAATTCTTCAGGATCACTGTGCATCAAAGAATGTTTCCGTATGATGTCACAAATTCCCCATAAATCAAAGCTCTGAATTGGAAACAGACGACGACTCTGTTATGTGTGAACACGCAAAAGTGTTTGCACGACTTTCAGAGCCGTTTTTATATTAACTTGTGATTTCTAAGTCAGAGAATTTTGAGTCAGTCAGCCAGCACAAAGTTTGGAAACACCATTTTAAGTGTAAGTATGATTAAAGTGCACTCTGTGATGTAAAGTTCTTACAGACAGAACGTAAGTAAATTGAGACTTGGAGAACAGGAACGAATAACGTGACTTTCACTGGTTGTTTACGTTGTCATGGAAACCGCATGGACCGAATACTGTTTTAGTCAGTTTGGTTCTAATCGATCTTAAGTCATTTTAACTCAGTAAGGTGAGTGGTGCTTTGAGTAATATAATTTATGTCTTGTTGCCTTGTCTTTTGGATGGTGTTTACAGGGTTTGCTGGTTGTGGTTTATAGCAAGGATTGATCAAGATTTTTGGGGTGATTTCTTGTTATAGATCAAATCAGGTAATTCGGATTCTTGGATCCCGAAATGATGTTTTTCAGGTAACGGTTGAATCTGTCTGTATCTGAAGGAAATTCTGACGCTTGATGATGGCGTCAGTGTATATACGAGAAAGCAAATAATACCGACATTGTTTAATCTTATGTTTATGCTTCAATTTCTAAAGAGTTTTCGAAATCGCTGTGGTGCTACTCAGCGACTGAACGCCTTCTTCAAAATTCAAGACGAAGTCTCTTCTGAAGAGACGTGAGTCAATTTAAGGACCCTCTAGACATGGGAACAGGGAAGAAACCAGAGGTTTCATATGTTCCTTATTGGTTTAAACCAGAGAAAATATGTTACGAAAACTTTTATTGGTGTAGATCCTCAAAAGGATGACGAAGAACGACCTCGAACGGTTTAAGACATTAGAATTTGTTGACATCTGTAAAACATTTAGCTTCCAAAATGTAGCGTCTTGTTCGTGGCAAATAGTATGCAACAAAACTTAACCCAACGTCTCATAAAAAGGAAGTTAACATTTCAACTGGAGCACAATGCCAGAAAACAGTCGAGTAGCTTCCTTAGCAACAAAACAATTCGCCATCTCTTGTCACAATAGAATTAAACGTCATTATCTGGCAAGTGGAATTTTTTTCCCCTGTGACGCGAGACCTGACAGATGGACCTTCAACATAGAGACACTCGTACAGAATTATACGAAAATCTAATAAATTTTACAACCGATTTAATTAAACATAATAGAATAACCAAACACAGGTTACACTTAAACACTTGAAATAATTGAGCTTGTATTACTAAAGAAATTAACTAATTATCCAATTAAACTAAATTGATATTTCAAACTAAATCCAAATCATCCAGGCGTTCCATGAGTTTGAGATTACAGTTGAGGGTTCGTAAACATCCAACATCCATGTACATCCAGAACTGCCATTAAAACAAAAGCCTCTTTATACTTGTATTACTCTGTTTAGTGAACAGTGTACATTATTAAATTATTTTCTTTAATCTCTGTTCTTAAAAATATTCACTTCAGAAGTTCACACAATTTTGACCTCTTAACAATTCTGGATT